TGAATAAATAATGAAAGAATTGTATTCGAGAAAAACTAGAAAAACAGGAATGAAAGTGAATAAGATGGTGACAGCAGGAAGCGAAATACAAAATGGTACAGAAGAAGAGAGTATCTCATTAAGACATGCTGCTTTACAAAAAACAGGAAAAAATCCAGGCTTCATTAGCTTTAATGGCTTGTGGTTTACACTCGTGTATGTCTCCTTTCATTCCTCTCTACCACACTAGCCACGGCTTGTGAGCATATCCTGTCAAATCGACTAAAATCCAGCAGTTCCCCAGCACCTCCATTTTCTCAAAACACTTGAGTTTGTCCCTACATGATTGTACCCACTCCCTCATGATTCTCAGGTCTCTTCCACGTTCCCTTTGTTCACCTCTCCAACAACGCTCACTCTGCTACCTCTCTCTGGTCTGTCCTACCATACACTTGGCTCCTTCCACATCCACTGATTTCCTGTCAGTTGGGCAGGATATGGTGTATGCCTTGCCCACTGCACAACTAGGTACATGCTGCCCCATGGGACTACACTGGCTTGCTGGTTAGTGGGCAGAGCAGATGCTAGTTGCTTTTCAGAAATGGAAAGACTCCCAGAAACTCTGGGTGGCCTAGAGATGACTAGAGTATTTAAAGAACTCTCTAAAATGATAATGCCACTGCAGAGAAGTCAAACTAATTCTTGGAATCCTTGTGGAAGAAATGGAGGACAGTCAGAAAACTCTACAAAGAGGACGATTGTGAGGAAACTTTATGAACCCAAATTTATTTGGAAAAGTGGACAATACACACAGTATGAAGTCACCACAAGTTGTTTATCCAAGGGGCCTAACAGGAACTCAAGGTTGAAATGGATAAACTGTTGCATACTAGCAGACAACTGTCTCAGCTAAAACCACTTCAGCATCTGATTACTGGAAAGTGCAAAATCTGGCACCAGTTTGCAAAAGGATCCCAGGGGAACTCTACACTCACATAGTATAAAACTGATGTCAACTGATAAATTAATAGAAATTATAACAAAGAACAGAATGAGCAGGCACCTGCATAAATACAGGATGTTTCAGGAAAAAAAGCCAGTAAGGCTTTTTTAAAGGCTAATCCTTCTAAGATTATTGCAGTTTTTTGAGAGATTCACAAACATGTCAACAAGGGTAACCTGTCAGATACACTCATATTTCAAAAAAAATCCTTCACTTAAAGCTCTGAAGGAAGTTAAGCAGCCAGAGGACAGTCCTGCAGTGGATGATGAGCAGGTCACCCACAAAGGCAGGAGTGAAATCTCCATCTACTGCAAGAATTGACATTAGCAGCAGAATTCCATAAAGAACCTGAACTGCTCAACACACTTATTACTTAGTTTTTTATTAGTTATATGTTTATTATCAATTATGCCAAAACCACAGAAGTAGTGAAGGCAGCTGGTAAGGGTAATTCAGGGTAATAAAGGACAACAGAGAACCAGAGACATACTGCAAAGAATTATGGAAAGACATTATAGTATAAGTGACTTGTCACTAAAATGACAGTGGAGATTTCATGTAGGCAACTTAAGTGATGCACATGACAAAACACAAGTCCTATCCTAACAAATAAAATTATTACATATGAATTGGTCTTTAGCCCTCAAGAGCAGGACCCTGGTGTTATGATAGAAATGCTGTGTTGCTAGAAGTCTACATGGCTTCTAAGAGACGTTGACTAAATTCAGGGAAGAGAAATAGAGACATCTCTAGCTCAAAGGGTCCATACACTGGAAGTGTATTGGGAGAAATTGTACTTGCCAATCTTTTAATAGTTTTTTCTAGATGTGCGTTTGTGACATAGCTGGAAACAGGATATAGAAAAATGAACTGGTCCTACCTGGTACAATTATTCTTGTGCATGTTTTCTACCTTTCACTCCATAAGAATACTAGTAAAATCTCCTTCTCTTTCTCACTCCTCACAGTAATTTTTACTATTTCTGTATTACCTTAACTTTGAGGTCCTTGTGCACTTTCTGCCCTTTCTGTCAAATCCGGTTAAGGCATTTAGAAGTTTATTCAATACATTAACACTGTTTAAACAATAACAATGCTAATTTCTTTAGAATAAATTAAAACTAGCATTTTAACCTAGAACTGCAGATCCATAGAAAACAATGGTGTTCAGATTAAATGTATCTGAACATGCTGTCAGCCAAGCCTCAGGCCAGCCTTCACTTTAAGCACACCTGCAGTACAATCTAGGAGCAAATGTAAGTATTGGATATGATATAATGATCAGCTAATGCCTAAAGATCATAAAAGATGAAATAAAATTCTTCCTCAGATAAGCAGCTTTCCCTTGAATTTGTCCCATGGTATGGGCAGATAAGATATTTCTCATCTGGAAAGAAGGACCTCCAGATGCAAAAATTTGCACCACCAAGCATACAATACATACATTCCTCCTGCTCACCCAGCTGTAGTTTCTAGTGCTACTTCAACACAAACAATAAAGGAGCTACAAGTAATGGGTGACCTCCCTTTCCAGATCCTTCAAAGCCTGGTGAAAAGGAACACACACCACAGGTACTGTGTGGTAAGCCTCTCTCCATATTCTAGCATGAAAGAAGGATTGAAAAGTACAGTGGGTTCCACCAAGGATGGAGCACTGGGCAGGAAGTTTCCTGCAGCGAGTGGCTTTGACAAGCAGGAGTCCCTCTCTTTCTGCTTAACTCTGCCTGCCATGTCTGGCAGACAAACCACCACACTCACTGCAAGCAGAGAGATGTCATTTCTGCCCTTATTCTGCTTGCTGCTTTCCCTAGCCTAACAATAAAGTAAAAACAAGTTCAGCTACTCCCCTCCAAAACCAGATGAAAAACACTAGGCATCAATCTATACCCTTTAATCACATGCAGATCTGTAGAACCACTTCCCTACTCTTGTGTAAGCCTGCAGTTCACACATTTATAGCTGTACTCCCATTTGCACTATGAGTCTCTCTGCATGCAAGTTCATTCTCTCCTGCACCTGGGTCAAAGAAAAGGTCAAAGAAGCAATCACTGTGTGCATTGGTAGACAGAAGGGATCTAAGAGGTAAGCAATTAATTCTGGAATAAAACCCACACATGCTGATTTTAGTTCTACCACCACCATCCTGTTCTTCCTGAGGTATACACAATTCACTGTATAGCTGGAGGTGATCCTTTCTATCAATGTGCTGCTATACTGGCAGCTCATTTGACACCAAAATCAAAACAATTGCTGCTGTCTTAGCTGCAAGACTGCTCTGGATCTAATATCCAATAAAGAGGCAGAGCCTCAACTTCTTAGATATGTGCTACTATAAATTAAATGAACTGTTTCTCCTTCAGTGTGGAGAAATGTACCACGTCACTGACAATCTCTTATACTTCTGCCATTGGGAATTACAAAAGAACAGCACAGGGAAGGCAGCTTTTCAATGCTATGCAATATGGATTAAAGTTATTTTTAAAAAAACCTGCCACCTCAGGTAAAGTCCTAAAGGAGTGGAGAGGGATCTAGAAGAGCAATCAATTCTCCAGCTTATGTCCCCACCATGCAGTATTCCTTACCTCAGTTTTCAAACTCACCCTCTGCTTCCCTTCCTTTCTCTAACCATTTGCATTTATAGCAGCAGAGCTACCACTCCTCTTCTGCAGCGGTTAGATGAGTGCTCTGCTTTTTCAGAGCTGTCCCAGCTGCGGGTGTTCAGGCATCTCCACTACTCTTTGGGTGCTTAGCTTGATCTAGCACAGAATTGAGTTGCCATTGCTACAGTCAGTCCTGCCAGCTCCACCCTGCGCAAGCCGACCACCTCTTGCTATGGTTCAGCCTGCTTGCATTAGCATCTGGTAAGGAATGGCCCTTATCAAACAAATGCCATTTCTCTCTTCCCTACTAGAAACAAAAAGGAGAATTGCCACAGCAGAGTGCCTCAGGGCTGATGGATCTTCTTCTTTCCTCATGATTTGGAGAGATCCAGCATGTCAAGGAAACTGAAGTTTAGTGATGACTAAGCAAAACCTTCTCCCTTCATTCAGCAAGGTTTCAAGAATGCTACTGATGGCATGCAGGGGATAGAGTCTAATGCTACAGAGAAATGTAAGCCTTCACAGTTGCAGCGTGTTTCAGTCATACCCCTTCCCAAAAATCACCAGGTTGGAGATAAGCAGGTGAAGACATGAACAGAATATAATGTATTCCATTCTGGTTCTTTAAACATACAGTATGGTCTTCTACTAGATCTTAGATAGCAAGAGCTCATTTAAGCATATTTCCATCTGTAAGACAGAACATATGACAACTAACAAACTCTGCCTGATTTCTGGTCTCTCATCCCTGATCTTCAAAGGTGGCCTAGAAAGCAAAACACTTATTCCAGGTGATAATTGCATCTTTTTTTTCCCCCTCCCATCTCTGCTCCTTTACACCTAACAAACATATAACTTCTTCCTTTGCTAACACTTCCACTCTACTCAGCAGGCCATCTTTTACCTTCGATGTCCAACTCACTAATAAAGTTGGACTTAAACTCAGAGAAACTGTTCTCAGAAAGATCCTACGCCTCTCTCAGAAAGGAAGAGGGATCCCGGTTCTTAACAGTTGTATTCTTTTTCTGATAATATCAAATCGGCATAACATAAAGATTACCTCTGCCAGTAAAGCTAAATCACATGGCTGAGAATTCTAAGATCAAAGAAAAGAGTAAATGAGCTAACCAAAAATTCATTCTCTTTACTTCAAGTGACAATTCTTTCTAGCTTTGAAGCAGGAGACAGTAATTACTGCTTTGCAGATAACATCCCTGGAGCCAAAGGGACTACCAGAATTCTGTTATTTAATCGCCACGTCAGATTTTTTATGATGTACCACAGCAGGACTGAGGACTTAAACCCATTGGCTCTTTCAGAAAATACTTTCTACGAAACACTTGAGTTACAAATGCTGACAGTTCTTAAGAGAAGTATCTTTCATATCTTGTGACAGTGCATAGAAGAGCGTTTACTTACTGAAAATACAGAAGGTGGCACTACTGTTAGCATGAGCAGAAGGAACAAGTTCTTCATCTCCGCCTGTGGGAACAGAAAGATTACTGATCAGAATTGCTTGCTTCTTTGCTGCTCGTTTGGTGGAAGAACTACAATACCACACACTAAAAATGGAGGAGGAACTAAAATGAAGGTGAGAGAAGAAAAGCAGTTTTATCACTACAGTCCCTGGATAGATGAAGGCAACTGCAAAGACTGAAATTACCCTGTACAGAAAGCCAGAATGTAATTACTGAGTGTAAATATTTCCCTGAACTTTCCTCTGATATTATGAGAACATCATCCCCAGGCACAGTGGAAGGTACATGCTGTTGCATGTCTGCCATCCCACCCATTTACATATACACATGATAAAATACTTGAAGATTGCAATGACTTCCACCAATCCAAGGTAAGAAATTCCACAGTTAACATTTCTGTACCCTGTAGTCATCTTGCACGGACTGGTGAAGCTTTGTGTCTGTCTTTGTGTGGTCTCACTTGTTTAAAATCCTACAGTTCACCACAGACAGCTATAGCTACATTCAACAATGAGTAGTTATATCCCTTCTGCAGAGCTAGAAGGGAGATCAGGTCACACAGATTGGTATGGCAGCATACAACAGTTCCTAAATTTGGGGCATTATGCATGTTTGTGACCACAATATCTCATTGGTACATTGCCTGTTGCTATTTAATCCTTCCTCTTTTGAGTTGCAGCCCACAACAACCACCACTCACCAGCATTCACAGCTGTGACTATGGACACTTCAGCTACTAGAGACCGACTTTCTCATGGTCATTTTCTCATGACCTCATGGCAAGTTGATTAATCCCAGAAAAAAAAAGGAGACACACTTGATATTCCTAGTATAGTTTTATCTAGTTTGGGCTTCTTTCTAACTTGGGAAAAGAAAGGTAAAAGGACAGAAGGATAAATTTTCCTTTCACTATGCATGAAAGAATCAAGGAAGAAATGCTTATCTCATCAGTCCTTGTAACAACATCTGTTTTAATATTAAAACTTCACATATAGCTCCTTTAGCCTAACCTATTAAATCCAGCTAAAATACAGAACATGCATCATTATTAACAGTGATAACATTTATATAAAATCACTGTTGCATGAGAATATCAAATCAGAACCAAGAAATACTCAAAATGAAACCTACTTGATCTAGTATTCGTGCATTTCACATTATTTTGTCATGGGCAACCATTTTTCTCCTAATCCTAGGTCTCACTGAATCACAGCTCATTACCACTCTCCAAGTCCATATATATCATGGATTTTGACATTTCCAACATTACCTGTTCTGGGGATAAAAAAGCATGTTCTTAAATGTTTTTCCCTTTCATATGTAAAAGCTACTAACTTCTGAAAAATCCAGTTGCACCAAATTCTGTGTGCAAAATAGCCATGAACAGGGAAAATGTAACTGGAAAAACAAGCGTCTCTCCCTAACTACTGCATGCCAAACATAAGATTCGTAAGAAAATGGAGCTATAGGAGCTTTTCATATGAATAGACTTTCATTAATTTTGTATTAGTCATTCTTAAGAAACTGAGGGAAGTCTATGTACACCCTATTACCCACACATGCTACTACTACTCTTCCCGTTCAGATCAAGGAAGAAATAACCCAGAGATACCTCCACAAGAGGTCAAGTACACTCTCTGTGTACTTGTGTACAACCAAAACATAGGCTAGACCTTTGTCAAAACCCTATCCAACTGCAAATCTTTTCCCAGTGGAAGGACAGGCAAGAGGAGACCCTTTTACTACAAGTTCCATGCACACAAACACTAAAGCTGTCCTGAAGTAGTTCACACCACTAGCAAAGGTCACTGTGAAAGCAGCCTCTTCCTTGAATCATCTTGGTATCAGAGGTAAGTATTGGAGATCACCTCCTCTTCCTACTACTCAGTGGAAAAAAAAATCTCTTCTCCATCATTCCTCTCTCATATATTCCATTCCAGGCACCACTTTGGGTTTTTGGAGATGGCCTTGAAAATCAAATGCTTGTTCTGCTGCTAATGGACTGCCCACTCAGCCCTTTCTAACATCTGAGCCAAGAAGCAGACAGGAAGCTGGGATCAAACCACATGAGGCTCCTGGAGCAGAGGCTAGAGGAGTGGCTCACCAGTGTTCCCATTCCCCAAGCAATTAGTATTTTGGATGATTTTAGTCAGATAGGATAAAAAGAGTCTCTGAGGAGACGACTAGAGTCAGAACCCAATGTATGGGGCAATCCCAGGCATCAAAGCAGCAAGAGGTTACAGCCCTGGTGCTTGCTTGTATTTTTGTGTCATTGCACTTGTATGGTAATTGCTATCATATGTCTCAAATTTGGCATTAAAAAGTTTAGACCATCCAGTCCTAATAAATTAGTCAACAGATTCCAGGAAGGATTGTCAGAAGGAAGAACAGGGCTGTCTGTATCCTATTAAATCTCTCATTGCAAAACGAATCTTGTATTTGATTATGTGAGCTTCAGTAAACTTGTTATTTTAAAAGCTTCCTCAGATATAGAATTCAGCATTTATCCCTTTCACCTTAGTTTCAACCACAACAGATGGAACTGGGGAATCTGTCCAAAAGCTTAAAAAAACCCTCAAGTTCTGTTTCTGGATTTAATGGCTCTAACTCCTTGTAAAACCTGGGGTACAGCAGCATATGTTTATTCTGATTGTTTGCCATTCTTCTCACCGAAGGCTGAGTATGCAGGGGAAGGAATGAAAATGACAGTGTCTTGCAGTGCTTTCACTTGTAACAACAGCAGCTGTTGTTCCCTGTGCCTCCTGCCCTTCTCTAATTTTCTTCAACCCTTCCCAGCTCCCTTTTCTCACTGTGTGCTAGAACAGCATCTGCACCCCTCCTCCACCCAGAAACAGCAGCAGGGCCTGAAGGGAAATGGTGACTCTATGTGTAAGATATGGAACAGCTGCTGAAAAGCTCACAGAGGGATTCCTGCCATAGTACTAAAATATGAAGTTATCTCAGGGAGAGGATTTACGAGACAAGAATAAGTTCACAACAAGTAAGGAACCACCAGAATCTTCAACCAGAACTAGATGTGTACACAGCTGAAAGCTCTGCCCCATATACCAGAAAAGATTCAAATTGTCTATCTAACCATAATCTGGCATTAACTGTTCAGGTTAGATGAATAAAAAGGTTGAAGTGGTGACTAGTCCCAGCCATCTGTAAGCTTGGCCAAAAGGAATCTGCTCTGTAGTTCAGCTCTGGACTGTTTTCTTTAAGAGATGCTGACCCAAGCTCCTCCAAACACTGGGGAAGTTCAAACTTAAATCTAATTTTAACAGCTCAGGAACCTTACTTCTATTCCAAAACAGGTGGGTGAGAGGGCTATGGAGGAGATGACTGCAATTTTGTAACTATGGACAGAACACAAGAACTCCACTACAACTGGAAACTGGGGTAAGTACCCTTATTTCAGGGCTTAACACTGAACCCACTTAGGAAAGAATCTTTTGCCTTAACAAATAGAAATTCTAGAAAAGACAGATAGGCAGACTTGGAGGCTTCTCTATAGTGGAGCCAGCAGTGAACTACTGTAATACTATTTTATTTAGTTAGAAACTCTTATCCAGGCCCAGGCAGGCTTAGCAAAATCAATCAAATCTTCATTAAGACCAGGAGTATGTTTCAGAATCAAGGACAGTTTTAATGACTCCTATATTTACTTTATGTGTGTAAATCCCGCCTTCCAATACACAAATAAGATTGCTTACTTAAAGTTGGTCACTTTTCCAAATAACCTCTTAACATCCATGTTCCTAGGGAAACAAGACCTATTTTGCCTGTATATATATGTAAAAATAACATTGAATCACCTAACTAATTTCAGGGTCTCAAAAGCAATAAAATTACATTTTGAGAGAAAAGATACTAGGCCAGGATGAAGAGAAGTGTTGGACTTTTAATCCATTTAGATGACAACTTTTTTTTTTCAATAGGAAGGAAATTCAGACTCGAAAGAAATATTATGAATAATTCAGCCTTGCATAAACAAGAACCTAAGCTGTTTGGGCACTACAGAATCAGATCATAAAGTCAGAATAAAACAGGTTTCACAAGTTCCACTGCTCACAGATTTATCAGTTTTTCTCTATTCTTTTTGAAAATAATTGGATAGTTGGTGTTACATGGTTCTTCTCCGTTTAGCACATAAGACAGACCAGTCTTCTTTGGCCTGTGAGCCACATTTCTAAATCATCTTTGGCCAAAGATACATATCACATATGTGGGCCAGGGACTGCTCTAGGAGTGGTTCATAGGCAGAAGGTAAAAAGACCCCTTCAGGGTTCCCTAGACAAGACTTATCTGGACATGCAGGTAAGTGGCAAAGCCATCCAGTATTACTGACTTTGGCAGGTATTTACAGCTCATTTTATCTCCCAATTTGAATTACCCAACATGGATCTATTATTCCCATCTGAGGTAGCCCTGACACAAAAGCTGTCTTTGCATGGCTTGTGAGGTACAGATTGACCACTGCAGCAATAAATCTTTGCCTGTTGCAATATCGAGTATAGCACATCCAGCACTAAAGCAGAAGTTGCCCCAGTGATCCCACTACTCACACCTTTTCAGAATTCTCTCACCTTTCCTCCACTCCCCTTTAACACACAAGATCTCATTTTGATGTTTTATGTTTAGAGGTTTGGTTGACAGTGGTGGGAAGTCAGAAAGGATGATATGTTGCCCAGTTATTCACTGACATGAATTTTTTTAGTCATTGACTCAGAGCAAAGTATTTAAGCTTTCAGACTCACTACATTTCCGGAAGACATCATGATTTTTGCTTTGCTCTAAAAATCTTCCAGGATATCTTGGTTCCAGCTTGTTTTTGTTTACTTGACAACTGAGAAGGACCTTTAAGTTTTTGCTGGAAGAATTAGAAAAGGGAAAATAAACACATACTGCAAGAAGGTAAGATGAAGGTGGGGAGAGAAAGGGGTTCCACGGAGCAGGGATGAAGGATAGAGAAAAACTTCCATTTACTTAAGCTGTGTGCTG